TTTTTTTAGATTAAAAAATGATTTTATTTAATTTTATGTGTATGAGTGTTTTGCCTGCATGTATGTAAATATACCACATGTGTGCCTGATGCTCACAGAATGTTGGATCCCCTGCAACTGAAGTTACAGATGGATGTTAGCCGCTATATGGTGCTGAGAATTGAACTTGGGTCCTCTGCAAGGTTGTAGATAGTGCTCTTAACCACTAAACCATCTCTCCAACCCTTACTTTTATTATTTTTAATTATGTGTAATGGGTCTGTTTGTGTGCATATAAGTACAGTGCCTGCAAAGGCCAGAGGCATCAAATCCCCTGGAGCTTGAGTAACAGGCAGTTGTGAGCCCCCTAATGTAGATGCTGGGAATGGAACTTGGGTCCTCTGCAAGTACAGTACACACTTTTTTTTTTTTAATAAAAAAAATTATTTGCCAGGTGTGGTGGTGCATGCCTTTAATCCCAGCACTCGGGAGGCAGAGGCAGGTGGATCTCTGGGGCTATAGGGAGACCTTGTCTCAAAAAGACAAAAAAAAAAAAAAGCATTTTTTGTGTTCCAGCCCTAGCTGGCCTGGAACTCCCTATGTAGACCAGGCTGGCCTTGAACTCACAGAGATCTGCCTTTTTGGATCCCTTCCAAATGATGGGATCAAAGGCATGGGCCACCACGCCCAGAAAAATATTTATTTTTTAATGTGTATGAGTGTATTGCAGGCATGTGTGCAAGTGCACCCGTGTTATGCAGTGCCCGTGGAGGTCAGAAGAAGGTGTAGGATCCCCTGGAACTGGAGTTAATGGTTGTTAGCTGCCATGTGGGTATGTGCTGGGAATCAAACTGGGAATCAAACCTGGGTCTTCTGCCAGAGCAGTCAGCACTCTTAACCACTGAGCCATCTCTCCAGCCGCCATCCCCTCTTATCTTGCCTGTCTCCTGATACCTGGAGGGGCTGCAAGTTGTACACCATCATCTTCCATGATCATTGTGGCAATGTCCTCCAGACAGAAGGCCAACCAAATGGGAGGACCAAAGGGGGAGAAGAGTACGAGGGGCCTAGAAAAGTGCTGTGGGGGCTGGAATTGAGGCTCTAGAAGATGAGCAGAAATAGTCCAGGAAGGCTGATGGAAGGAAGCAAAGCTGAGCTTTGTGAATTTAGATAAAGATATCCTGGGGCTGGGAGTATT